CCACCCCCCCCCCCCCCTTTTTTTAAATTATCAGAATCTCCTGAGATAAGCACAACAAAAATACTGCTTTGATTTCATCAGGTATTAAATACAGGCCAAGCCAGTTAAGTATAGCAATATGCTAAGTGATCCATAAAGATGAATAAAGGTTGGATACCACAGTATGTATTGACTGGGCTGAGAAATTCTTCAGTTAATATGTTCTCCAAAATAGAGATATTATCATATTATCTTAATATTTTTTTTAAAACAATGCATGGTGCTTTCTTACACGAGATGGATTGTCAATGATTCTTTAGTATAATAACAATATGACACTCCATTATTAAACTGTATATTTAATAATTTATAATTCTAGGAAAAAATACAATTTCCTTTGTAAATCAGTAGAATTACAGTGAGTTGATCTATCACTTAATCCTGACTCATTGACTGAAAGTCTTTCAACTTCCCACTGGCACAATAGTTTTCTATAGGAAATTTAATTTAAGCTTCTCTTCTGTTTTTGAAACATGGTATACTGTCTATCAAGAAAGATGGTTGTTGTTGTTATTATTATTATTATTATTATTATTATTGTGGTTGCACAGTCAGCCAGTTGTTTAGACTGGATTTGGCATTTTTATCCACCTATTGAGTCCTTCCCAAGGACCTGGGATAGGCAGATATTATTGTTTGATGGTTTTATTATTATTATTGTGGTTGCACAGTCAGCCAGTTGTTTAGACTGGATTTGGCATTTTTATCCACCTATTGAGTCCTTCCCAAGGACCTGGGATAGGCAGATATTATTGTTTGATGGTTTTAAAGGTATCATCGCAGGATGTAAGCTGTTCCAAGTATAGCTGCCTTTATTATCATTATCATTATCATTTATAGAACTTGGAAATAAATATATGGTTCCTGGCCTCCTGATCCTCACAGTAGATAAATAATAACCCTGAAAATATTGACTGAGGACATGAAAATGGGAAACAGCCCTGAGGTATTTGGTGATTCTGCCATGCATCAGGTTGTGACTATAAAAATGGCATGTGCCTGCATTTTTCTGAGGTATTTGGTGATTCTGCCATGCATCAGGTTGTGACTATAAAAATGGCATGTGCCTGCATTTTTCTGAGGTATTTGGTGATTCTGCCATGCATCAGGTTGTGACTATAAAAATGGCATGTGCCTGCATTTTTTAAATTGGCATTTGAATTTTAAAGGTAATATTGATATGATTGGAAATAGGTTTATTGATTACAAG